AAATATATATATATATATATATATATATATATATATATATATATATATATATATATATATATATATATATATATATATATATATATGTAAGCTAAATTGAATATAATACCATAAAATTCGATCATACATGAACAATAAAAAAATTGTAAAATACAATAATAATAAAGAAAATAAAAAAAAATAAAAAATAACATGTAACATGTCACTGTTTATAAGAAGTTAATTAAGACAATTCGGTAAAAATGTGGACCAATTAAAAAAAACTAAAATGAAACCTTGAAACTTTAGAATCTACAAAAATAATTAAACCTAAATTAGAATATAAATATGTAATAAATTAACTAATTTAACTTTTATTAATAAAAAATAAGGAATTTATTATATTTTAATATATATATATATATATTAAAATATAAATTTGATATGATTTTTATATTTTTGTTTTTTTAGTAAGTATGCTTTCCATCTGGATAAAAGTGAGGCTCTAATCCCTACATTCAGAGGCGGACATGAAGTTGGAGCCAAGATTTCTTTCATACAATTTTATAGTAAGTATTTATAAAATGAGTAATAATTTCATAATAAAAATTAAACTAATATCTGAAAACCCTTTTATTAACTTTTAAAAATACATTCTACATACAAGTTAGAGAAATTACATCCAACTAGTCTACCAAAATTTCAGTCATCACATCAATCAAAATAATTTATAGTTTCCATCTTTATCTTCTTTCCTTTTCCTTTCTTTTTATTCTTTTGCTTCTTCTTATTAAAACAACTTCAAGATTAGTTTCACTTTCCATTATTTTTTTTATCTTGCTTAGCTTTCTTTCTCGGGAAAGCATAGAGATTTGGTCTGCTGAAATTTGTGCTGGTAAAAATTTATAGAGAGGAAAGAAAGATGTTGGTCGTTTTCTTGGGCTAATTGGGTATTGCGTAGAGTGGGAGAGGATATGGTTGGAGAAGTAGAAGAAGGGAAGAGCAAATAAAACCCTCCATTCTTTTTCTTTTCTTCAGCTAATCCACTCATCCACTTCTTCCTCATCTTCACTATAATCTCATCCTCTCTTTTCCCTTCATCATCACTCACCCTTACTATTATCATTATTATATTTATTATATTTCTTTTGCTTCTTTTGCTTGAGGCTTGAAATTCCAAAGTAGGACTGACATCTCAGTAGAGTAGCCGGCATGGCCACCCAATCGCCGCCGCCTTCCACTTCCACCGCCACGGAAGAAAACAAAGGTTTTCATTTCTTTCTATTTTGCCCTCGATTGTACCTTTACTTTGAATTGCAACTTTTTGCTTTCTTTTCTTAGTAGAGTATCATTACTATTCATTACAAATAAAAAATTGGAAAACTCCTCCTCTTCTTCTTCTTCTTCCACTTTCTGGTACTAAACACCTTACACCGTGTTTTAAATAATTGGAATAACAGAACTACTATAACTTTCTGAACGACAGATAATGCATATGTACAGTGAATTCACAAAATTTGTGGTTCCAATCAGAGTATAGATTTGCTCCACAGAATTGGGACTTTTAAAATACTAGTATGCTATTTATGTAACTTGATTATTATTCTTTTCTTAATTCCACCAAATGACCAATTTGTGGTTCCAACTAGTGTTAAGAATTTTCTGATTACTGTTTTATTCTCTCTTTAGATTAATGATCAATCGTCTACATTAATCTTCATCGGGTGCTACAAGAAAGACTAGTCAGTTTCTTTGATGACTTCTCCCCACTTTAAGTCCTACATTGAATTGGAATTGTACATTTGCTCTGACTTATATAGTTGGTCTCGAGCTTTTATATATGTATATATATGCACTACTGCTACTACTATTACTTATATAGTTGGTCTCGAGCATTTGATGGGTCATATTCATCCTTAGGTTGGACCGTAGAATGTACAAGACTGCTAAAGGTAGAGAAATAAAATGAGATGCTTTTATGAGATCCCACATTGATATATGGCTAAAGTAGAGCTTATAAAAAGGCTTAGGTATTCCTCACCTTATAGCCTAAATTTAGAAAGGATGAAAAAGATAAAGTTCTCTAATGACATGACCATATATCAGGGATCGATGGTAGGGCTACTTTCAAAAGCATGTACTGAAGGACACTTCATTTTATTGCACTTTAATAGGCTACATACCATAGATGGAGCTCCAAAATTATACCTTCGATTATACACTTTCCTTCAGGATTTTGAAGGTAAAAGAAAAGCATTGAATAGGATGGATGCTGGAAAAGTAGTTCAACTGATAGTACACTTAAAACTTGAGTTTTGAAAGGATCAAGGAGAAAAAAGCATAGGATGACTCATAAAGTTGTTTAACATGAACATAGGGCTTAAGATCATACTAGATGAATGGAGAAAGACTTTGATCCCTGTCTATAAGGTCAAAAGTGATATACAAAATTGTGCAAATTAAGGGTGGTTAACCTTATTACTCATTCCATGAAGCTAGGTTCTGGATAGGATCATTGTATTTTATAAAATGCATAAACTTTCACATGGTAAGCACCCTTTAGGTGCACTACTACTAATTTGTAACTTAAGCTAGAAGACACATAACAATAAATTATATTTCTTGACAGATTCTGTCATGATCCAAAAAACCAATGTCTTAAATTTGTTAGGTGAAGACACACAAATGGTTTTTGTACTGCGTCTCTATCAGATTCCTTGTTTTTCATTTTAACAAAGGCTTAGTGGCCTTCGTCATTTTATGGTACTATTTGGTACTGATTTTGAATGTTTCCGTACTTAATTGGATTTGATAATGGATTGTTTTAGATTAAGTATTTTTTTGAGTATGATAAAATTGATTTGCCTAGTCTTCTTTTTGAGGTTTAGGTTCTGAGATTGTGCAACTAGCAAATATGGATCAGAAAAACACCATAGAAGCAGAGCCTGCTAAACCTAGTTCAACTCCATCAGTATTTGTAAACTCACAACCGATGAGGGAAGAACAAGTTCAGAATGCTGTGAAATTTCTGTCTCACCCAAAAGTTAGAGGTTCACCTGTCATCTATAGGCGATCATTTTTAGAGAAGAAGGGCCTTACAAAGGAGGAGATTGATGAAGCCTTTCGGCGAGTGCCAGTATGCCTGTTTTCTTAAAATTATTTTACCAGTCGCCCAAAATTTTCTAGGTTGTTCTATCACAGGCAACCAATGGATTATCAGTTTATCAATTTCCTACATGTTCATTTGTATTTTTTTATCGGCATGTTCATTTGTTTTAATCCTTACCTTTGGTTCTTATCACAGGATTCAGCTCCAACTGTGCAAACAGGCGGTGTAAATCAAGGTGAGTGTCTAATATTGAAGTTTTCCTCTGTAACTTTGGATTGAGTCAAATTGCATGTGAAATATCTGTTTAACTTGATTTTCAATAAGCTGCTTGGGTTGCACTTTGAACATGACTTATTGTAATACTAACAGATGGGCAATTGAAATCATCATCAAACAATGAGCAACAAACTCAGCAAAAAACCTTGCAGCTGGTTTCGCCTTCTTCTACTGGTGTTAAAACTTCATCAGGAACATTACCACGCTCAAGATTTCACTGGTCCCATGCCCTAATTGCTGTTGGATTACTGGCTGCTTCAGGTGCTGGAACAGCTATAATAATTAAGGTATAACTCTTGCCTCCTACTGTCACGCATAATGTCTTCTAAGTGGATATCTTAAGGGGTGAGTACTTTGATTGACATTTTACATCCTTTCTTGTGCTTGATATATTGCTATGTCCATAAGTTTTATCATATTGCTGTTTGATCTGCATATAACCTTCAAAGATTACTTCATGTTTTAGAAATCTTTTCTCCCTCGGTTAAAATCTTGGATACGTAAGGTTGTCCTTGACAATGATGATGAACAATTGAAGAAAACTGATGACAAACCAACATTGCTGGAAGAAGCTGCACAAGCTGCAAAATCAGCAGCAGCTGCAGCTGCAGAAGTGGCAAAAGCGAGCCAAGAAATTATGGCTTCAAAAGGTGAAGGTGAGTTTATAGAACTTTAACTTGCATGCTATAAATGTCTTTGATTTGTTTTAGTACTCCTACTCTCCTTGGGCTTCTTCTATTTATGAGAAATGATTGTAGTTATTACTGCATCTGGTGTTATACTTTGCAGAGAGGAGATACTTTGTGGAAGTTGTGAGCCTTTTAGACAAGCAAGTACAAGAAATGAAGTCAATGACAAATGCCATAAGAAGATTGGAAGGTAATTAACCATTAATCATTTAATCTATTAGACTGACATGATAGCTTTTCAATGCTTTGAATATTTTATACAGGGTTTGATTTATGGTTTGCCAAACTTGTATATTTATAACCACTTAAGAGCCAACAAAGGGGCTCATGGTGACCAAGAATTTTGACAATATTATGCACATTTTAACTATTCTAATTGGCTTTTAGCTTTATGATTCCCTTGTATTCAGCTTTCATCCAATTGTTTAAGAATTCTTGATAGCTTATCATGCCCAAAATTCTAGCAGATTTATGCTAGCGGTTTTTAAAAAATATTTCAGATTTTTTCCCTTAAAATTCTTATTAAATATCTGTTTGTCAATTTGTGAATAATATAACTTATAACTGAGTTCCGTCTCAGGGCAAGAAGATCTTCAAATCAGTCAAACAAGTTCAAAGGTCAGATATAAATAGACTTACATGGGGATTGTTTTAGCATCTTTAACGAACTTTGTCACGGCTGATCCTCATTTAAGTTGTTTTAAATAAAATTTTACTTTTGATGACTGCAATTTTTTTAAATATATGCAGCAACTGATTGTGAATGGCAAAGCGGATTATGACATGCGTTCAGGTTGTCATATTAATAATTAAGTCTCAGTTAAATTAGTCTTATCTTCTGGACTATTTACCTATCATCAGAATATCATGTGCAGTGAGATCTTCATCTCCACCTGCATCTGTTCAATCATCAAGTGGTCTTCATCCAAAGTCATATATGGAGGTACTAATTATCTTGTTTTTTCCATCTACTGCTTTATTTATGGGCCATATCAGAATGTTAATCACTTTCCATTTTGGTTGTCTTGTTGATCACTTGAATACTAATCAAAATATAACGTTTAGGCACTAAATACTTTGGGACATGACTATAGCTTTCCTATTGTGGCCACTGACAGTGCCCAAGTGGGCACTGTTTATTTAGTGAACACATCTGATTTGTTTTTCTTCTTTGTTGGATATCTTATTTTCTCTTAGCTGTATCATCTCTTCCCTGTCTCTAAATTTCTTTAAACAACTATCCAATTTATTTTGAAAATTTTCTAAAGAAGATAATTGAAGGAACAAAAGCCCATAAGAATATTTGGATTCTTTTTGTTGCAATTTCTACGGATCATATTCATAAATGAGAAAACAGAAACGATAAGTTATAGTGTAATTGTACATACATATAGCTTTTGACATGTCCTGCGGTCCAAATTATTGAAGTTAACTTTTGCAAATTCTCATTAAGAAGCAAGTTGGTACCAATGCTAGGAAGAAGAAACATGTTAATGCCATCAAATTGGCTGAGTTTAGCCGGCTGGGTTTCTTGTGTTCAAAGGAGGAGTGAGGTCGGAATTAGAGTGATTGTCAGTGCTCTCACAGCAGAGAAGAGAACAAGTTTGTAAATAGTCAGGATAGTTGGCATGATGAGCTTGGAGAGGGAATGATTTGTGGGTGTAAAAGAAACTGAACAAGAACGAATCTTGTAACAAACTGAATTGTATACATTTCATTAACATGTAAAAGAGGAAGGATACAAGTGAATTTATAGCTAACTCCAACAGGGGAGATACCTATCAACAGTAATTAGCAACTTTATTTAATTGATACAAGAGATAGTTGTTAGCAGTGGCTAAAAACTCTGACTATGTACATACAATATTTACATACAAAATATAAGTAAATATAAACTCTAATGCCCCCTCAAACTCAAGGAGAGAATTTTTCAGGAGAAAAACTCTTCACGTTGAGTTTGCCTCTGAGAAATGAAAAACGAGCTGGAGAAAAGGGCTTGGTCATCACATCTGCCCACTGATCCAAGGCTTGTAATGTGATAGATGAAACGCAGTTTGGTCACAATCTTTTCCTACGCAAAGAAAACGTCAATCTCCATGTGTTTTGGCATGGCCATGAGACACCAGATTATGAGCAATTGACACACCATTCTTACTGTCACCAAGAATAATCCGAGTAGTTAGTGAAACAAGCAACTCAATGAACAAAGCAAAAATCGATGTTAGTTCGATAGAAGTTTGACAAGGTCTTAATAAGAAGAGACATTCCTGAGATTTAAAATGAAGCTTGTGAGAGTGACAAGGTCTCAATAAAGGAAATCAAGTAGAACCAAAAACTGAGAAAATGAAAGTCAAGTTCCTTATTGGAAAGAGTAGTATAAGGAATGGCAAACTTAAGAGAAGTTGTAGGCAATCTGTTTATAAGATATACACTAGTGGTAAATGCATAATACCAAAATTGTAAAGGAGAATCATGATGCAATTCCAAACCAACAATGTATCTATGTTTTCTTTCAGTGATTTTGATGGTGTATGACGACTAATGAATCTATGAGAAATACCACGAGTAGCTAAAAAGGTAGTAAAGGTTCAATATTCTCCACCTCAATTAGACTGAACATTCTTTATTTTTTAATTAATCTAAAATTCAACCATTGGCTTAAAGTTTTGGAAAACAAACAATGTTTCAGCTTTATACTTTATAAGAAAAATCCAAGTGAACCTTGAATTAGCATCAATGAAGGACACATAATATTTACATCCTGCATAAAAATGTCACGTGAGAAGGTTCCCAAACATCAGAAAGTTAGTTCTAAAGGAAAATAGATAGAATGATAAACACAAGCACTTACTAATACAACAAGCGGAACAAAAATAACAGTAAGTTTTATTGGATGGAGAAATTTTACAATGTCATGACAAATTGTAGTACACAATTGTTTGGATGACCCTACCTAGTGTACCATGACTGACATTGCTAGATGTTAAAAGTGTAGAACAAGAATCTTCTACGACATTAGCTTTATATTCATTAACTCTAACAACACTAAACTAAGAGATATCTAGTGTTGAACCACTAAAGGGTTTGGAAGATGACATTAGCACAACGGAGTAATCTTGAAGCTTGGGGGTATAAAATGAACAAACTCCATCAACACCTAATATTTCTTGAAGAAGGACGTTATTTGTGCCATGAGATTTGATAAGGCACATGTAAAGAGGAAATTCAATATGTACAAAGCTATCTTTAGTAAAGTGGAAAACATTTCACAAGTTTTCTCGTAATAGAAGGAACATGTAACAAGCTGTTAAATTTAAAGGTGATGTGTGAATCATTAGGTAGGTGAGACAAATGAAGAGGACTCAACACCATAAATTCTTAAACCTTCACCATTGCCTATCTGAGCAGGGCTCCCATACTTAGTGTTAGGATTAACCCAATTGTTTGAGGTTTTGAAGGATCTAACAGAATAAAGAATAAATTCCTGTGGTTGGATCAATGAAGGATAGACTCATGAGACTAGTAAGAAAGTTTAGATTGAAAATGGCACACGTGGGATCAAATTCAAAGCCTGATCTGACATTGAAAATTAACAATCTACCACCACCATGATCTCTACCAGAGCTGCTACCTCGACAAGTGATGCACCATTAGAGTCTCCATGATCAATAAAACCACCACAGTGGCATGCTTAGCAAAATATAATTGACACGCCTGAGATTTTGTTTGAAGGCCAAATAATCGTGAATCTTCTCCCAGACCTCAAGAGTGATTCTATCCTAGAACACGAAACTAACTGATTTGTAGAGAGCAGATTGAAGTCAGACAAGTAGTGTTTGGTCTTGAACTTCTCATGCATCATACTTAGGATTAACATGATCAGATGCGCAATAATGTTGTGTAAGATCACTGGTTCAACATACTGCCTCCAATAGAGGGGAGTTATAAGGTAACTTAGTGGTAAAAGTTGGAAGGGAGAGTGAGAGAGGTTGTGGTTTCAACTCTTCTAATAACAAAATACTAACAATTAACTTTTGTTGATAAGAAAAAACAAAACTGCAAAAAACTGCCTTCAATAGAGATAATTCAAATCATTGAACTTCTCATCGATGGAGGTTGGAAAGGATTGCGTGGAAGCTATGGACAACAATGAAGACATAACAAGGAGAAACCTAGAATTTGGGAAGAAGACATGACAAAATTTAGCTTTAGATACCATGTAAAAAAGGCTGAACTATAGAGAATTTGTTTCAAAGTAAATTGTATGTTTTTCATTAACTTGTAAAAGAGGAAGGATACAAGTTTATTTATAGCTGAGCTCCAATAAAGGAGATAGTTGTTGGCAGTAATTAAAGGCTTTATTTAATTGATAAGAGAGATAGCTGTTAGCCAACAGCTCTAACTTTGTACTCACAATATTTACATACAAAATATAACTAAGGACGTACTCTAATGGTGGGGGAGAATGAAGAAGAGGTAGGCATGAATTGTGAGGTTTTAGATAGGGATTTCTCTTTTCATCAGGGCCCCATTATTATCATTTTCTTTTCTGCATTTTTCCTGAAAAATATTTACTGAGGTCTACCTCTGAGTAATGGAGCTAGTTCTGAATATATAGTCCTGTAGTTTCCAGTTCCTATCATCCTAAGGGTTTGTGTAGTGCATCCGTAATGCTGAAAACGTTGAATATACACAATTATTAGCTATGTTCTGGTGAAAGTGTTATTTGGCTCTGTCTTGAGAACTGCTTACTAGCAGTTAATTTGTTTGTAGTTTCTTCATATATGATGGAATGGATACAGAGTGTTATCTATTTTGTTGAGTTTTACAATTTTTTCTTGCAGATAATGGCCATGGTCCAAAGAGGAGAGAAGCCTTCTAATATTAGAGTAAACCTTCATGCTTTTTAATCCAGATAAAGTTAGTTGCTTAATAAATTATACACCTCAGGCACCATCAATATAAAATTATAAAATTGGTTGACTTTAAAATTTGAAATGTAAGGAGAGGTGATAATGTGGAGAAGAGTATGGTGTGCAAATAAGATTAGACGGCAAGTTATGTTTAAATTTTGTGTTTATTTCTCTCGAGACTATTAATGTCTATCATTAGAGAGATAGACACTGGATTTGAACATGCAACAATAGCGCCAAAAGATTCAAACATGACCCTGTCATATTAGAATTTGACATGAGAGGATTCATTGCTACTCCCCTATATATTGGATTTTTAAATTTTATGTAGCCACTGTTAGTTTTATATAAAACTGGGTTTTAATGAAGGATATCAGTGATTTACCCCCCAACCCTCCCAACCCTAGTCAACAACCATCAAATCCACTCTTAGTGCCTAGATCTAAGCTTTATTTCAAAATGCTTTGCATTTTCTAAATATTTGAGGTTTATGAAGTTTTTTATGAAACTGACCAACCCAAGTCTCAATATTTTTAACTTTATTTTGGTCATCTCTGAGGATTTTCAATGAACCAATCTACAGCGTGGTAGCTTCCCGATTTTGGTAAATATAATCACGGGCCATATCTGTTAAGATATGTTATGCAATTGCATCATCAAGGAAAAACTATTGGTCTAGTTATAAATTAATTTCTTGATTTTGTTTTGTCAAGATATAATATTTCAAACTTAAAAATACTGAATTCTCTGGTAATTTTCTAATTATGTGCTGTTTGAAAACATCAAATTACTGGGGTAGGTCCAAAATTTGTTTTTATATCTTTTAGAAATGAACTAAATTGTGCCGTTGTTCATACTTTTTATACTTGGCCACTACTTGTGGCTGATGTTTTATTTAGGCGAAGATAGGAAAAGGGATTGGAAAGAGTTGGAAAATGGATAATTTGTGTGATATTTATGAAGACACGCTAAAGGCAGGTTTTCGTGTTTTTAATCTGAAAGATATAATATTCTGCCTTCTATTTAACCCATGCAACGAACATTGAGTAGTGCAACAAAGACACAAACACATGCTTATGGAACGGTATATTCCTTTCTCAGTTGTATTATTTCATATGAATCTGATTTTATGCTTCAACATTACTTGGTATATAGCCTTGGGAGGTTGGTCAGGTGCAAAACACGTCTACTCAGATTCTTCAATCTCAAGTAAATGGTGAAGACCTGAATACCAAGACCCAGGATACGTCTCTAGTAAATGGGGATGACCCATTGCCCTGGTGGCAGAGGAAAAATGTCAGAATCACAGAGATTGAGAATGAAAATGAGTCTAATGGAGTACCTTATGCTGCTGCATCCAGTCAGCAGCCAGTTCAACGTGTATGGGTTCCTCCTCAACCTCCACCCATAGCCATGCCTGGGGCTGCAGAAGCTATCAGACGCCCAAAGCAGGTGGCCCAAAAGGAACAGAAGTCAGATAATCAGTCAGTGGCTCAATCTTCTGACAGCTCTGTTGACGTTCAAGGGGTCTCAAAACCATTGGAATCTGAAGGTGCAGTAGAGGGCAGCAGTGTCAGCTCAGTTCCCAGCTCCAGTGAGATCCAAGAGGAGCATGAAGTCAAATATGATGAGAAATGAAGGTGAATCATGATATATCACGAAAAACAGGTAGTTGGAACTAGCACTTGAAGTAGCCCATGTTCTGAATAAGCTTGTCAAAATCTGTCATAATCATATATGTTTGTACTTTGAACTGGACATCAACAAAAGATGCAAATGCACGTGTCTTTCTATGCAAGAAAAATGTTGGCTACGATTATGGATGCAGCCAGCCTCAATCATAAAATACTTGTGGGGAATATGATGATATAATGTATTGTAATATTTAGAAGTTAAAATATCTTAAAACCAAGTATTCTGCTAGAACAAATCTTTAACAAACTAGCGGCAATTGCAAAGGAAAAATCTGAGGAGGAGCAAAGAAATGTATATTCGCAGCTTAGGATCTCAAATAGTATGTTACCTCGTAAGAATTTTGTTTCAATGAACTGCTCTTTGAATGGAAATTTGTGACTTGTGACATCGAAATTTATTACGAGCAAAGATCGAGATTTGTGACTTGTCGCATATTGATGAGCACTTTTAATGAAAAAGAAAAAGATATATTTTGTTGTTTAGTGCACTCTTAAATGAAATAAATATTTTAGTTGTCCCTTAAATAAGTTGGGAGCTACAAGTCGTTACATTTAAAAATTATTTTATTATTTCTGACGAGATATGCAAAATATATCTTCCGATTGATTTACGCTGCAACTGAAGTATTATATCTATTTGCGGTCATTGAACAATAAAATGTATCAATGCATAATTTATCTTATAGGTACATTAAGTGGCAACTAGAATGTACATTTAATTTAGGGTCACTAAATAAAAAAAACGAATACAAAATCAATCTTACTAAAGTCGTGGTTGCTGAATACGAATTGTATTTTTTTTTTCTGGATTCGAAGTTATGTCCTGTGGCACACAAAGCTGCAATGAAAGTTGTATCCACAATACAATTTTTAACTCAGTGAAAGTTGTTTCCAGTGCTCACGTTTTTAGTTCAATTTTAACGAAATGAAATTTGTGTCCACAACCCACGTTTCCATAGATCTCCCTTGTTGCTTTTTCTTAATTGCATGTATTTGTTTGTGATACTCATGGGTATATATGGTCAGAGAACAATATAAATTAGTTGGATTTTCTTTTTATTTTTTAACAAATATTGAAAATTTTAAATGTTGTGTACATGTATAAAATAATTAAAAATTTATAATTTTTTTAGGTAAAATTATACGAAACATAAATTATTTACTTTTGTAAGTAATTATATGGTTTAAATAATAATATAATTTAAATTTGATTTAAGTATTACTAATTTTATACAGTATCTATGAAAAATATTTATTCAAAAGGAATGAAATTTTATTAATTGTAATTGGTGAAGATTTCCGAAAGAGGACTCATACATTGACATGCACAGGTGGCAATAACATTCAAATGACACGGTATTTTTTTAATTTTTTCTTCCAAAATTACCCTTTTACCTTTAATAAATATTTAAAAAAATAAGACTCACTCTGTGACTTGAATGTAAAAAGAAACATGCCATGTCAGTATTAATTTTGTTTTCGAAATGACAATTTTCTAACCTTCATCGCAACAGTAAGATTTTTTTTTAGGTTGAACCGTTTGATAAAGAATACGAATTTGAGGACAAATTCTCTTCAAGAAGGAGATATGATAAAGATTATTCCATGTAACATATATGAGAAGAATTTGAAGAAGAACATTTATAATTCAAAGGATCTATGACAAGGTCAAAGATCAAAACACGTCTCCTTGAATCTTAATTTTTATAATCTTCCTTAAAGAATGAAATTTAAAGAACATGAAGATCATCAGTATTATTGAAGAATAAATTAGGAAATTAAATAAATTATATTTTTATTTTAATTACAAACAATTTGTTTCTATTTTTCAAATGAGTTTTGGACCCAATGTCATTGGGTTTTCTTTTAGGGTTTCTTAAGTACCTTAAACATTTGTACCTATATATAGAGACACCAAATACATATGTAAACACTTTTTAGTCATAATATATGCATTTGCATTTTTAAGAGAGAATTATCTTAGTTCTTGGTTTAGAACTCTGATTCTTACTAAAGATTAACATCTTTATGGCGAATCTTCCTTGACTTGTCAATCTGCTAGATTGTGGCGTCTCCGTCTCTGCCTTATTATGTGTTCTTCTCTAATTTATTTTATTGTGACCTTGAGAATTCAAATTTAAAAAAGATCGTACTCTTTCCTGGATAGAATCATATTACATAAGTTAGATTTGAGGTTAGTTAACACACTTTTGTGCAAACATTAACACACTTTCATAAGTTATCTAAACATTACCTTTATTTTACTAATAAGAGGATTTTAAAACTATACTTTCATAAGTTAGGTTTGAGGTTAGTTCTTTTGTTAGTGAATTGAATTATAATGCTCTTGGCCTTACGTAAGAGGATGGTATCAGGTTTTAATAATTAATGACAAAGTTAAAGAAGACATTACGAGGTTAGATTGATGGAAAAAAGATCCAAAAACAATAAGAACTTAACAAAGAGTAGTAACGCAACGAAAAATCAATCCCCATTCTTGCGAAAATCTGCTAGGAGCACCAAACAAATAGAATAAAAATAGAATCCAAAGCACAAAGAGACACCAACAATTTTTAACGTGAAAGACTCAATGAAAGGGTAAAAACCACGAGTAGTTCAGACCAAAGAAAAATCCTATGATCAATAATAGGGTACAAAAGAGTCTTTAATAAAAACACCAAATATTGTTTTCAATTAGTCAATTTAACTAAGCACAAATGCTTATAAATGAGAATAAAGAAGATGAAACTTCTCCAAAACAAAGTTGTTGATGCGGGGTTGTTTTCTCCCAAACTAGACCTTCAATTGACGATCTGAACGGTCAGAATGAAGAACCATAGTCTAGAACCCATTGTCCAAAAAATCAGTCTAATCCAACGATGAATGACTTCACAATGAAAACACCAGTGTAGGTTTTGTGTTATGCGGGAAAGACTTTCTCTCTTCCTTTATCTTTCACTTGGCTTTTCCTTATCTTTAAATGAATCCAATGTGCCATACTAATCTAACTCATCTCCACTAAAGCAAAGTGAGATATAATGGTCTACATTATTTGGACTTATTCTCCACATAGGAAGAGAGCCAAATAACCCAGCATGGATAACTTGCTTGTAGTTATCAAGGTGGGAATAATAACCTCTCATACATCAAATATAAGCCTCTAGTTTCTTAACAGACACAAAACATATTAACAAACTCAGACAATGACTTTCTGCAAGCGAGGAGAAGATTCACCAAACAAGAAAATTAATGAGTAATTAAGTTGAGAATTTCAATCCTTTGTTTATGCAATCATGCAGTTTTTACCACCTAATATCCAAGCTCTCATTCAATAGAATCAACAATAAAATGACAATCACCGATTTAAGTACTTAGTATGATCTCTATTACTTATAACTAGAACATAAAAAAATTGAGTGTCTTTGCTCATAATGAAAGATGCATTTTATAGGTTTTGATTGATTGTTTTTTTTGTTATCCATATATATATATATATATTTGCATATATATATATATATATATATATATATATATATATATATATATATATATATATATATATATATATATATTTGTATATATATATATATATATATATATATATATATATATATATATATTTGTATTTTTGTAAGACTTTGTAGAAGTATAAGTAGGTTTTCTTTGGACTTCAATTAGACCTTGATTAGGACCGGAAAATGATCAAAATAACCCTAGAAAAATTCTTTTTTTCCAGGATTTTCTTTTTAACTAGAAATCTTATGTCTTGTTGATAAGATTATTCTTCTTTCGTTTATTGCTTTTAGTGCTACTCTCGTATATTCTTGATAGTTATAGACAGTTTTATTCTAATACTTATTGTTCTATTATTCAATTATTATCTAGTTGTTTTGATACATCCCGTTAAGCAGACATATAAGAGAATTTCTTATAGTGTCATTATAGAAATTTGGCGCAATAGAAGGAGGGAAAGACATCCTTAGCCAACAAAGAGACATTGATTGACTGGTGGAAGTCTTTTGTTATTCAACTTGCTCATAGATAGAAAATATTCCAGCCGATTCAGAACATTGGACAATTTCCAAGTATGAAACCATGTATTATATAAAAAATTGTGTGCAACAAGATCAAAAGGAAGGCGTCATTTATTATCCACATATTTCTCTGGCCTTTGGAATCTTTTTATTGAGTGCAAACAATTGCTCTATCATCTGATCTGCTGCACTTTTATTTAGTGTTCTTACAGGGACAAGATATATTATTAGATTTTTACTTCCTGCACTCCCACAATTTCTTTGCACACCTCCTAAATTTTCGGACTCCAAAGATGATGCGTATACGTACTTAATCAAATCTTAAATGGGTTATTAACGATATAATATGTATTAGCGAGGTGGCTTTGCGTAATTAGATTGTGAGTTACTTTAGATGTTGTAGAGCATCATTTAATGGTTCTTTAGAAGGCTTAATTATTGAATGAAATTTTACCAAGTCCAATTTCAATTGTCAATGCTTTTTTTTAATGGTCAGATCATTTGATTTTTGTTTTCCATTTTGGCTCCTCGCCACACTTGCAGCACCCAATATTTTATTCTCCCTTTGTTTACTTGGAATGTAAAATACAATGTCAGCAAATTAATCTTTCTTTAGATAGGAGTTTATCCGATGTTCAAAACTAAAATTAATTTATTTATAAATAAAACTATTTTTTCCAAATCATGAAGATCTTGAAATAAAGTTCTGACAATAAACATACGATCAAAAATTTTAATAATTTGATATGATTTTATCGAAGAGAAAATTTGAAAACACGTAATATTAATAAGATTTGAGTTCAATTTTGATATTACTCTTAATTTAAAATTTTAAAATAACAAATTTAAAATCTTATTTTTACACTTTGTTTTTTTATTTTTATGTAATGTAAAATTTAAAATTATATTTAGGTTTCATTAGTTTTGCTTAGATTTTCATTAGTGTTGCTTGGTAAATAAGGAGAGTGAATTAATACTTATGTGGAACTGTATGTGCTTTTGAAGAATTTTTAGTTAGTCAAGTTTTGCGATGCGAAGGAAAAAACTGCTCCATCAGATTTGTATTCAAG